TTTGTGACCCCACGGACTGTAGCCTACCAGGCTCCTCAGTCCATGGAATTTTCCAGGCAAGAGAACTGGAGTGGGTTGCCATTTCCTTCTCCACCTTCTAGTCAAAGCTATGGTTTTTCCAGTAGTCATGTATGGATCTGAGAGTCGGACTATAAAGAAAGCTGAGTGCCGAAGAACTGATGCTTTTGAACTGTGGTGTTGGAGAAGACTCTTGAGAGTCACTTGGACTGCAAGGAGATCCAACCAGTTCATCCTAAAGGAAATCAGTCCTGAATATTCATTGGAAGGACTGATGCTGAAGCTGAAACTCCAACACTTTGGCCACCTGATGCAAAGAACTACCTTATTGGAAAAGACCATGATGCTGGGAAAGATCGAAGGCGGGAGGAGAAGGGGATGACAGAGGATGATATGGCTGGATGGCATCACTGACTCAATGGACATGAGTTTGAGTAAACTCTGGGAGTTGGTGATGAACAGGGAGGTCTTGCGTGCTGCAGTCCACGGGGTCACAAACAGTGAGACACTGCTGACCTACTGAACTGAGTGACTAACACTTTCACGTTCACTCCTGACATTATGTGAAGTGTGTAGGTGACAGCCTTGGTTACATAGTAAAGGAGATTCACAAGCAAAGTGCCCAAGGTGCCCCCTGCTTTCTTGCTGCTTGTAGGAAAATGCAAAAGGATTCACACAAAAACCTGTTTCCACCTGTTAAAGAAAATGTAGTTTGATGATTTTGAAAATTCTCAGCCTCTAGGTAGCAAAGCTATTGAAATGAAGACAGAACTTCAAAAGTATCACACACAGTAAAAACTAAAGGTCTGACTGCAGAAACTTTGCTCGGACCTCAGAAGTATGTAAAGATCAGATGTGCACCCTCCCAAGTGGTTCTTAAAAGACCTTCTCTCAGATCCTCTCAACCATACTTGATACACTCAAAACCCAGAGTAGGTTTGATGTCGTGTTTGTCTCTGAGCCATCTCAGAAGAAGGCCAGAGGACAGAAGGTCTCATCTTGCCCTGTTGTGTGACTTTTGTCCAGAGGAGTGAACCCCACTCGGGAGATCCACAGGGTTCCTGAAAAAATTATCTCAGCAGACACACTGCCAGCTTAGCCTGAAAGGGACAGAGAGAGTGCAAAATGGAAAGAGACTGAGGAAAAACACCCAAGTTCTGCTGGCAGGACACGGCCTCAGAAGACTCCTCAACTGCAAACATATGCCTTCTTTCATGAAAAAAGGATGAGTCAGAGGGCAGGACCATGAGCCCAGAGAGTGGAGCCAAGAGCCACAATCATTCCCAAGCTTTGGAAACAAATCCAGGAACTCCAAGCCTGGCTGCAGTTCACAACTACTATGGACAAACTCCTTTCTGTCTTGCATTTCTCCTCCCTGTAGAAGGGCGATGTGTCTAGCTCCCGTGCCTGGTCACTCCCACCACTGTGTGCTGGGTGTACTGGGGGCAGATAATTTGTCTTCTGTTTTGCCCGTCCATAGATGGAGAGCTTTATACCAGAAACCTCGTTCACACCTGATCCTGATTTATTAGACAAGGAGTTTTGTACTTTGCTGATATTAGAATGGGATGAGACTCCTGAACAACTTGGGAGGGTGCAAATTATTTTGCATGCAGGAGGGAAGTAAATCTTTGAGCATCAGAGGATGAACTATGGTGGGCAGACTTTAAGGTGGTCCCCGTGATCGATCTCTGTCTCCTGGGGTTTCCGTCCTCGAAATCCCATAGACAGAGGAGCCTCACAGGCAACAGTCCATGGGGTCACAAAGGAGTCGGATAGGATTTAGAAACTCGACAACCACCACAACAGAATCCCTTCCACTTGATGGAAGGCAGGACCCGTGATTTGCTTCTTCAGCAGGAGAATAATATGAGGTGATGGGTGGTATTCCACAATTACCCCGCGTTGTATAAGTCTCCGTCTTAGTAGCAGGCTCACCCCAGCCTCTTCGTCTCTCTTCTTCTTTCTCTCCTTTCCGAATTTCATAGACAAAAGCTGTGATGGATCCTAGAGCTGTAAAAACCGAACCATGAGCACAGGAAACCAGATGCTTTCCCAATTGAGTCTCCAGTTGAAAACCCAGCAGTTGACAACTAATAGCACTTCTCATTCTGTTCTCCTCTCTCTGAGACCCTTCACTGATCAAGGACGGTAATGTGTGTCAAAGTGCTCACCAGTGCTTAGTTCACGTGAAGCACTGAGGGGATTCTTCCTCGTTCGCATTCCTTTGCTCGGTGGTAGGAAGAATTCAGACAGACTGT